AGAGATAGAGATAGAGATAGAGATAGAGATAGAGATAGAGATAGAGACCCACATTGGAGCACTGGACTGAGCTCCTAAGGCCCAGAAGAAGAGCAGAAGGACAGAGAACATGAGCAAGGAAGTCAGGACCACGAGGAGTGTGCCCACCCATGGAGACAGTGGGAGCTAATGGGAGCTCACCAAGGTCAGATGAAATGGGACTGAGCATGTGATCAAACCAGACTCTCTGAATGTGGCTGACAATGAGGGTGAACTGAGAAGCCAATGATAATGACACCGGATTTGGATTCTACTGCATGTACTGGCTTTTTGGGAGCCTAATCTGTTTGGATGCACACCTTCCTAGACATGCATGGAGGGAGGAGGGTCTTGAACTTTCCACAGGGCAGGGCACCCTGACTTCTCTTAGGACTGGAGAGTGATGGAGGGGGAGTAGTGGTAGTGGGAGGGAAATGGGAGGATGGGAGGAGGTGGAAATTTTTAATTAATAAATAAAAAATAATAATACAAACAAGGAAGAAACAGTTATAGGACAACAAATTCACAGACTATGTGATACAGTATTTTGTGAGTTGATATAGAGCCATATTTGGCTATGCAGAATTTCAGTACATCATCTCATTAACCTCTGGGAGTTCTGATCATACTGAGGAACCATCCTTTAGAACAGTCTGATGAATTAACCTTTCATTCTTTCATTTAGGAGAGCATTCTGACTCTCCTAAACTGCTAGGGTGTCACAGAGAAATCTCTAAAGCAAGTGATACCCTGTGGCCAATTATCGTGTCTTACTATCATACATACTTAATATAATAACAAATCACAATTGACAGGTATCAGTTACCTGTTCACTATGTATTGGCATTTCTCTCTTAAGACATAAGTAAGATTGCATCAGCCCTGACTTCCCTGTTGAGGACTGTAGTGGTATTTTCTATAACATTGCCTAGGATTTTCTGTAGATAAACAAAGCTCTGGTAAGATCTTAAATGATTATTTAGTGGGCTAGATCCTGAAGTGAGATAGACAGGGACCCAGTCCATGAAAAGGTTAATATAGACTGGAGTGAGCTGAGGATCTGAGCTTAGAGAACAAGTGGTTAGAGCTGTGTGAGATCAGCTCTGGAAGGTGACAGAGTCTGGCCTTTCCCTAAGAACAGAGGAATGTAGGTGTGTGTGTGTGTGTGTGTGTGTGTGTGTGTGTGTGTGTGTGTGAGGGAGACAGAGAGAGAGAGACAGAGAGACAGAGAGCACATTCAGATAATCCCAGAGTATCCCAGATTCTGTTGTTTCTGCATAGCTTAATGATTTTCAAAGATTTTTTAATTTCCTCCTTTCATACTTGGTGTCCATAGAGGCTTTCTTGTCCTAACTCTGAACTGTAGTCTGGGTATTAATTGAATCTAAATTACTCATCCGATCCAGGGGTTTGAACTTTCTGGCATTTATGGGCCACAATGAGGGGATAACTGTTTGGGGATACACATTACTATATAAGATATAATGAAAATTGATAATTCTTCTCTGAAAGGAACCATATATCAGTATATAACTGATACATCATCTGCACAAACAGGTATGCACAAAAATCCTTAAAGAATATAATAATTTTAATTATTTGGTACCCATTTTGAGGGAATCTTTTAAAATATGGAGCAGGCTCCAATTTAGTGATATTTAATAAAAAAATCGAACAATCTTAGTAGTAGATTGCTTTTATCCTAAAAATAAGGGGAGCCATGGGGACATACAACTTTAATTCCAGCACTCAGCAGACAGAGGCAGACATATCTCTGTGAGTTTCAGGCCAGCCTGGTCTGCAGAGTGAATTTCAGGACAGATAAGGGTACACAGGAAAAAAAAGAAGCTTGTTGTAGGAACGTGGGGCCCCTTTGTTTCGTCCCAGCGCCCAGCTAGCTTACACCTAAAATAATCACACATAATCTGTATTCATTTAAACACTGCCTGGCCCATTAGCTCTAGCCTCTTATTGGCTTACTCTCACATCTTGATTCAACCCATTTCTAATAATCTGTGTAGCACCACAAGGTCATGGCTTACCAGGAAAGATTCTAACCAGCATCAGCCTTGGGCAGGAGCTTCATGGCATCTGCCACTCTGCCCTTCTTCCAGCATTCTGTTCTGTCTAATCCACCTACCTAAGTCTGGCCTTATCAAAAGGCCAAGGCAGTTTCTTTATTCAGCCAATAAAAGCAACACATAGACAGAAGGACTTCCTACATCAAACAATGTCTCAGAAAAGGAAAAAAATATCAAAAAAAAGAGCAAACAAACAAAAACAGTGAAAGAGGACAAAACTAACTTTGTGGGCTATTGGGCATAACTTTGAAGAAACAAATGGACTTGTTGGACACAACTGCCTTTATGGACAGGGCTACAATCTCAGTGAATTCCTAAGATGAGGTGAGATATTTTGGTTCTGATGTTACTGTTAGTATGCTTAACACTTTGAATTAATAGAAAAATTAAAATTAAATCATACCATCCACCTTAATCCATCTAGCTCCTACCAGGTTGTTCCATCCACTTCTGATTCAAGGCTTCTTATGCTTCAGTTATAATTCTCTCTCTTTACTCTCTTAACATACACAGACATAAAAATATAAATAAATGCAGCTTATATCGTTAGTTTATTATTGATGAATGCATATGTATTTTAGGTCTAACCGCTTGGGATTGAATAATCATTAGAGGGGCTCATCTTTGGGGAAGACTATTTCTTCCTCTCTCAGCACATTATAATTGCCTGTTGCTCTTCATCTTCGGATGTGGTCCCCTACTATTTTCCCAACCACTTTGGAAGCTCAACTGGTGTTGTCATTGTTCAGATCTTATTTGAGCGGTCACATTGCTGAGATTTCATAGGTGTAGTTCCCTTTCATATCTAGAAAATATTTACATCAAGGATTTTAACTATTGATCATGTATGAGTGTCTATGTTCAGATTTGGCATGTACATGTGAATATATACCCCCTTGGAGTCCAAAGGAGCCTAGGTTACAAGTGTTAAGAGGCATTCAACATGGGTGCTCAGAACTGAACATGGGGCCTCTGCAAGAGCAGTCTCTACCATTATGACTTCTGAGCCATCTCTCCAGGCCTGCATGCTCAGTTCCTGAGACCTGTGACTCACAAGTGTAGGTGCTATGAAAAGCTGATGGCATGAATCCAGTGTGACTGAAAAGGGTAAGCTCTCATCTGAGAAGGTCCTGTAAGAGACCCATGAATGTAGAGAAGGTCTGATAAGAGGCCCATAAGTGTCGAGAAGGGACATGATCAAAAATATTATTAGGTTGAATGAAGTATTGCAGTTCTAGGCATTTCCAATTGAAAATCAGAAGGTAATGTTGGCAGACAACATATATGCTGATGAAAAATGGACTTGTGATTATGCCAAAAAATGACATTATTTCTGGAAATCTTGATATTTGTTTTCAAATTCTCTCTCAAATGTAATAGCAAGGCTATATTACTGTTTATAAAACCATATTCAACTTGTTTGAAAAGCATGCAATTATTGGCCTTAATTTGAGCTTACAATAAATCAGCCTTCACTTGGAGCATATACCTTACTAAACATGGTATTGAGATTTTGGTTTTCTGTTAAAGATGAAATGAATAGTCAAATCCACTAAAATTCAATCTGTAATTGAGTTTCATTCCCAAGTTTTCGCATTAATATTGTTGACAACATTGGAAGTAACTTGACAATGTTTTGGTAATGTCCTTATCTTGGGATTGGAGATGATT